CTCTCTTTGCCACTACTTTTGCTTATTAAAAACACATACAGTACAAGGATTTCAAGTGGGAACCCAATTGCAATCATACTAAATGGCTGATCTTCAACTTAGCATTCAAGACGTCTAAAGTTCAAAACAACCCGAGAAGTAGGCACAAAGCTGGCTCTGGTGCTCATATAATTTCTCATGGTTTGCACACTGCACAGCCTCTGCCTCAGAGTCTACCTAAGCCAATATTTTGAAACTGGTAGCTTAATGACCCACTATTGCAGAGTTCCTATTGAACGATAAACAAAAGATGAAAGTGGTTCTGTGTATGGTCTGTAACTGATGCCTAGAAAAAATGTCAAAAACCATCTGCCTCAAGCTTGTCCAAACTGTCGTCACATATTCAAATCTAGTGCAACAAGAAACAACTGGAACGAGGCAAGTAACTTGCTTCAGGGTCATGAAAAGACTAATAATAAAGGGAATGATCTCTGGCAAAACCACAAAGCTGTAGGGAGCTTATGCAGGGCTTTGAAGTTCAATTGTATTCAATTTAATATTGAGTAAATACTGGTTTAGCACATTCTTATGACAGTTCTGTGATCAAATATTTAAAGTTTGACAGACAAAGAATGTGTCTTAAAGACGTTTGCATATTTAGAGCGAATGTGGGCAATTGTTTAATAAAAATAGCTCTTCCGAAGTCTTTGTCGAAAAGGGAATGAAAATTGCATTGAAAACCTGATAATCGTCTAAAATGGATCAAGCAGTGTAAAGATAGGCTATTGTCTTGATTATAACTTGATCAGAATTGAAATTATGGACTGGAAGATATCTCTAGATACGATAAAGGAAAAACTGAGAAGTTTTTCAGTTTGACTGCACAATTTTCAGTTTGACTATACAATTTTCATGCATAATGCAATGTTTCAGTCTAATGCCAAAGTGGAGAGATGACTGGTGGAATTGGATACTAGCAAGGGGTGAACAGCTTTGGAAGAGGAAGGGATGAGAGAAAAAATGACAAGAGGATAAAATGACAAAAAATAAAGTAGTTTAGGAGAGAAGGTGAAATTAGTTTCTTAAGGACCACGGAGAGAGGAGAAGAACATTAAAGTGTAGCGCCTTATAGGTGTCAGCCTGGCTCAATTGGTAGTACTCTTGCTTTTAGGTCAGAAAGGTGTGGATTCAAGTCCTGTGACACTCCAACGTAGTATTGGGTGAGTACTACATTATTGGAGGTGCCTTTCTTGGTATGAATGTTAAACCAATGCTTTGTCTACCTGTTCAGGTGGACGTCAATTTCCATTACACCATAAATCATTCTCCTCCTACCTGTTTGTGGAACAGTTCTGCGTGCACATTGGCTGCTGTATTTGCATACATATACACAGCCACTACACTTCACAGAAACCTTGAAGATGTTTTTCAATGTGATAAGACATTATATCAAATGCAAAGATAATTATTACAGTGTTGCGGGCTGGTGTTTGCTTTAAAACCCACTCTTCTGTATCCCTTTTGATTCGATGTCTGGCACTATCCTTGAAAGTAGTTAGAAAGTAAACAGTTTTAAGAGTGTGAGCAAGCAGTGATGCTAGTTGCATGTTAACTATATGGAGCATTATAATTTTTACTGTAACCAATTCTCTTTTAAATGATGGCAGGGCATGATTTAGCCTGTAGCCATACAATTCTTTTTAGCCTGGCACTGAGGTTGGCACAGTTCCAGATGCAAAGTAAAGGTGTTTGGCCCATGGAAGTACTTTAAGTGGCTTGTATTGATACAGTTTCCTTCACTGCATCTGCAAAACATTTTTCTGTACTAAATTTTCATGTGAAAAGGCTGCTTAATGATCTACAGAATTGTGCAGTTCAATGGAGTTATTTAAATACACCCCCTGGGTTCTTGCAGAGCAAACAACCGAGCCTTCTGGTAGCATAAAGGAGAGGCAGGTGCACATTTTGTGCTCTATTCACTTGCTCCACATTGACATTTCTGTCCTAATCTGCAGACAAACAAGAGACAGGTGACACAGTATGCATTAGCTGCCATGTGCAAAGGAACTGATTCAGCAAACAAACTCTGGCTTGTTAAATTGTTTGCTTTGTCCACAAATAAGCAACATGTTGTTTCAGCCTCGTGGCCTTCGGGAGACGTGGAGCATTACAAAGCTAAACTTAAGGTTTCCTTTGGAGCTCGTAATGTATATGTGACAAAATGACCATATGAGGAATTGTTGTAAACAGTGTTGCTCTCATGTGAACAAGCACTAAGTGCTGTGGTTCTGTTTTATGGGTCACTTTGTTGTTACTGCCTTGCCTCTTTCTGAATATCTCCATCTTAATATGTAATAAAAAAAAGTTTCTTGTTTAATAATTAGATGTTTTGGGGTTGTGAATACTACAGAGAAGGTCCCAATGTTTGAGATTTGGTTTGCACATTTGCCTACAAATAATCAGTGACTGCATCTTATGGTAAATCTTGTTAAGTGCTTTGAGACATTTTGATTAGGTGCTGCATCGAATGCAAGGATTATTATTTATTATTGGGTAATTCAACGCTCTCAGTCAAGGTAATGGTAAGAACGCTAGATTTGGTCTCTCAGCATCCCAATAACAACTGGACATTTTTTGCTCACCCATTGACTTCGGCTGGAGTCTGAGTATATGGATGTTGTGTGGAGGTCACAATGGCCTTTATAGTCAAATAACCTACTGACTTTCCAGGTTTAGAGTAGCTAGTTGAGCATGATACCAGGCTAGAGACAAGAGCAGATAACCTAGTTAATTTTCCTTTTAGATAAAACATCTGTGGAGTAAAATTCCACCTGGGATTAACATAGACTTTGAATTCGTGGTCTAGGCTGACACTTCAGAACAATGTGCAGCATTGTTAGAGATGCCATCCTTCAGATGAGAAGCTAAACCATGGTCCAGTCTGCCTGTACAAATGGCCGTTAAAGATCCCATGGCAACGTTCAAAAAGAGAAGGGAGTTTCTCCCAATGTCATGGCCGAAAATCCATGAAAATAAAATGGGTCATTTACTTTAATGGCTATTTGTGGAATTTGCTGGGCCAACATTGTCTGCTGCTTTGGCCTAAAATGTATACAATTCATACACATTACAGTAAATCCTGTGAAGTGCTTTGAGACAACCTCTTATGTGAAAGGTACTATATCAAATGTAAGTATTATTTTTGAAGTTCAAGACGCTGTGCTATATGAGATTTGAGGCTAGAAAGCGTCTGCGTGAAGGTTCTATAATCTGATTAAACAAATGGAAACCGCAGAGTACCTTTCATTATAAATACAACTAAGACAATAATGTTCTTCTGGAGTTTTCTTACCATGTTTTCACCTTCACGGAATTCAATACAGTTAACTGAGACTTGGTATAACAGATTTCTAATTAAATTTGACATGTTCACAAAATAATCTTTTGCTTCTCAATATTGCAGATGCCATCTGTGCAACCTTCAAATCTCTCTGCAGAAGGGTTGTAGAAGATTTAATCATTGCTCTCGCAGAGTGTACCAAAGTTATTAATACAAAAGGATGTATTTTGCATTGTCAAGTGTTATGGACTTTTGACATAAAAGGTGAAGTTAAAATCAGCATTGCAATGACTATACCATCTTTCTCTATTGTCTTTTCCTATCAATTTTGGATTGATTTCTACTGAAATAAAGCTTGGTTCTTGAGCCAGGTAGGTCCACAGTACTCTAAGTGCTGACAGACCAGCCAACCCGGGTTCATCAGCAGGACCTCAAGGAGCAGAGAGTTTTCCCACTTGGCTCCTGATAACCCTGCAAGCCAAAGTTCTAATTTGTTAACCCCAAATCCTTGATAATACCTATAAGTATGTGAATCAAAAGGCTGTAAAATAATTGGTCTAAACCTACTTATGTTCAGTTCTCTTCTCCTAAAGTACATCTGTTGAACTAGAACCTTGAGAGCTACCAATTTGCCTCCAATGTACTGTACTGTATTTGAACTTTGGTGTTATTGTAGAAAGTCAAAGTAACATCAGTTCATCTTGGCTAATAAATAGGTTAGTGATGGCCTCAGAGTCTTGTCTTCCACATGCTTGTTTTTTAAATTATTTTTAAAATAAAATATTGGTATGTGAAAATGTCTTTGTGAAACCCAAAAGATAGCTATTTCTTCATTTAAAAAGTGTAGTGGACACCGTGGTGATAGCAAAGGATGCTCCCAGAGGTCTTATTCAACTTTAATCTGTGTTAAGTTCTCACTGAGGTTTTGCTGTGTAGGAGCTGTCCTTCAAAGGCCGAAATTCAAGAAATGCATTGTGTAAATAAGTAACCACACAGAACACACAAAAAGGAAGCACTTTACATTCAATTCACTGACCCGTGGAATTACTTCAACCTCTGGAAAGTACTTAACTCACCGATTTGATTTACATTCAGTAGAATTATACAAACTGATTCTGAAGCTCCTACCGGTTCATGTCACTGTGTGTAACGTATTGGAAAGCTTTGCATTTACTTAGCTTTGGTTTCAAAAATCTACAGCAAATGCCTGGACTACAAAACCAGGGCATGCATGCCGTTATGTAACTGAAGTATATATTTTATTGGTTTGTTTCTATCACTTTATACAGTAATGTTTTTGCTGGGATATAGCTCAGATATGCCATTTGCAACAATGGCAATATTGTGGCAGGCGTGTATCCAGGAGATTATCTCTTGTGCGATTTAGATGTTTGTGTGCCTCGGGTAGGGGGGGGGTGGGGAGTAGATTGACACAAGTGGCAGCAGTCCACATTGCCGATGGTTTTAAATTGGTTTTAAAGGAAGAATATAATAACCTAAAACTCAACATTCTTTTATGGTGAGAATCTCCTTTCAATTAGTAACAACGGATTAGGTACAAGTGAAAATGCTAATGACTCAGACTAATTTTTATTTGCTGAATTAAAATAAGCGATTTCCCGGAGAGAGGGCGAGAGAAAGAAGAGTAGATTCAGTTTAGCTCTAAATCATATGGCACAGGTTGGATGCATTCTGTACCTGTATGAAGCTAAATTGACTTAAGAGTATATTACATTTAAAGGAAGACCTTGTCAGAGACATTGGTTCTTAAATCATGCCCACGTGTCCAATTTCCCAGAAACAGAGCCTTTGATAAGACTTTAAGCAGGGACATCATCTTCTCAGTGTGGATAATAGCTCACAAATCTAACAATGTGTTTTATGATAGCCATTGTACAAAATGGAACTGTTACATATTTATGCGCTCAATGGAACTCGGTATTGAATAACATAGTGAAGGGCATGATGATGGTGGTGGTTAATGGGGGGAGGGGGGGAAGAGAGGAGGGGAATTTATATATCTGATATTCTAAGTTGTGGTATCATAGATATAGACCACAGAAATTTATCTCAATTAGTTCTCCTCAAGCCATTAATGTGTTGCATCGCAGTTGAAGAAACTTAATTTGTCAAAATCTACTTCAAAAATACTTGTACTATTAACATTTGTGATCACAATGCTAGCTGAAACAGGCAAATGGATTTCTTGCTGGTGTCGACTGACTGATTCACTCAAATCTTCACTTCCTTTTGTGTGAACACCGACCCTGCAATAATGCCTGACTTTAGTGTGCATCGGTCATAGAAAAGCAAAGCTTTGATCCAATCTTGTACCAGCAGATCACTGGTGAGATTTTGACGGTATATGTGTTTCTTCCCAACGTGTATAGATTTTCTTTTGGATACTTGCACACCCTTCTCAATCAGCACTCTTTTCATCTGAATAACGAAAGGAGAGAAACCATTGTGAGAGGGCTCCCTTTTCATCTATTGATCCTTATCCGCACTTTCCCTGTTTATTTCTGATACACATCTTTAAATTTCTAAGAAAAAGTACATTTGAGCTTTATTTTAAAAGTCACGTTTAACCTTTTAGATTTCATGATTTTGGAAGCCTTCACCAAAGGCACCTTTCCTCAGTTATGTTATGTTAACCACCAATTCTGTGGCTTTTTCATTTCATGTGTAAAATAAAATGAAAATTGAATTTAAAAATATTCACTGATTTTTTTTAAAAAAAATCTCTGGTGAGGCTGCCAATTTTCAGCCTGTCCCAGCATTGTAGGCTGCCCCTCCCTAGTGTTTGATCCTCCTCTCCAGATGTTGTGTTATACCAGAACAGATGTAAAGGACTCCCACTGTTGATTGATTGCTGACAAGTCTGACAGTGGTGACCAACCTTTATGGTCAGCCAACAAAATGTTCTTGATTGAATATTTCTTGATTTTATGCCATAAAATCATAAAGGAAAAACTGAGAACACACACTATCAATCGGACATGGACTTACCTAGACTGGTGCGAATGTTCGGGAAGGGGGTGGGTAGGAGGGTGGTGCTTCTTGATGACCCTGTGGGCCATTTCTGGCCCGCGGGCCACAAGTTGGCCATCACTGGCTAGCCTATCAATATGACGGTGTATTGTACTCCTAAAAAGCAATGACTGGGCTCTTTTTATGCTGCTTGTTGAATATCAAATGCCCGGGAAATGTTTGAATTGAATAATTTTTAAGAGTAACTAACCTTGAGTAACTTTTGCAAGCATTCCTAATCCCCAGTGATCTTGTTGAATTGTTTTTCAAAACATTTAAGCATGCGGCTGTCTCAAGCTGCAAGCTACAACCATAAATAACCTTATGAAGCTTCTGTAAGTGATCAAATGTAACATGTTGTCACAAAATAGCTATAACCCAAGGAAAGAAAAGCTATCCAATAAAACCCATACAAACACGCACACACCAGCGAAAGACATCAACATCTAATCATACAGAACATCGTATCAAAAGACAGTTTTGTAAATGGAATAAACACAACTGTTCTAAAAACAGACAGATTTTAAACAGAATAGCTTATGACAGATCAAGGAAAGTGAATGCACAACAGAACAAAACACAGCAAGTTCTTCAAACTCTACAAAAGTATTAGGCAATACAGAAACAAGTGTCGAGGTAGGACAATAATAATCCTTAATAATAATGTCCAAACAGCCAAGAAGTGAATGAGCAGATTTTGAGGATTCCAAGACACTGAGAGAAACTACTACTTTCCAACTAATTTAATGGGATCTTTAAATGTCCACTGGAGTAGGCAGACTTGGTGTCAGTATAATGTCTCATCCAAAGGATGGCACCTCCAGCAAGGCTGCACACCCCAGCACTGAAGTGAAATTTGTCGTCTTAAAACCGATCAGAAGGCAAACATGACACAGCAAACACAACACAGCTCGAATTATACAGGTGAATATCAGCTGGTACATCTGAACAAGGCACGTCAATAGAAAAATGGCAACGATTTCATGCAAAAAGTGAGTAACATCCCATCAATGGCAGAAAATAAATTCCATAGAATAATGATGGAATTACCGTGTACAAAGACAGCGTCATGCACTTTCAGGTTACCATTCCTAAAAATATGAAACAAACTGAACTTGAAAGAGTTTTCGTTTGAAGAAAGAAGACGGACTATTCAGAATATGAACCTGTTCCTACAAGTAGTGGCAGGTTCCTTGTTATATCCTCTATTAGGTGGCATATGAACAAGGTGGAGGCTGAGACAACTTTAATGAAAACAGATGTCTCTACAAATTATACAAATGTGTAAGGTGCCATAGGTGCACATTTACATAAAACTAATCACAATATTGTTGCACGGATCAGTTTGTGAGCAACTGACTTGGATAAATCACAACCAGGGTGTTGACTCTTAAACACCTTCGAGACAGTTTACAACATCATTTGGCAGTGAGTTGAGAATTTTCAGCACACAATTTGGATGAGGTTCAAAGAAATATTTCTGAATGGCAAGTATTCCGATTGGTGTGATGGACTTGGATTCTCTGCACAAAACATGCTTGATTTTCTGGGGCTCGCACTACGTTCTTTCTGCCCAAACTTCTTGCATCTGCCAAAATATGTGCTTTTCTCATTTTTCCAGGTTTTAAAAACAATCTATATTTTTGTGGTTTGTGTGTGGAGTATGGTTTGGTGCTGGGGATGGGGGGAAGTTTGCAAATTTCTGTATGGTACAAGCCAAATGTGTGGGAAAAGTGCTCACATTTCTGTGAACAATTTAATTTGTATTGCTATGAAGTGACCGTTATGAAATCTAAAGAAATTTAGAATTACAGAGTGAACTGAATTTGAACTTCTCATTTAACAGACCACTACTGGAACTGTTCAGGTAATAGTGGCTTAGTGTTGGTCTATCAACGTTCTCTATATCTAAGCAGTTGAACTTGGAGTCAGCTTGGCTCAGTTGGTAACACTTTCACCTCTGAGTCAGAAGGTTGTGGGTTGAAACCTCAGTTCGAGACAGTGAGCTCATTAGCTAGACTGATACTGGGTGGGTGGGTGTGTAGGTGGTAGGGAAGGTGCTACATTGTCGGATGTGCTGTCCTTTGTCTCTTATCACAAAAGTAATTCTGCGGTTCAGTGCAACATATAATGAGGCTCCATTTCCAGCTCTTTGAGTCCATAAACAGTTTAGTCTATTAAAACAACAAGAAGAAGATTACATTTGTATAGCGCCTTTCACATCGGGAGGACGTCCCAAGGCACTGGACAGTGTACAAGATTTCAGACCTGAGCTGGGGTCAGGGGGAAGAAGGGAGAGGAGGGGAAAGGGGGTGATCGATGGCATGGTTGAAGAGGAGGGTCTTGAGGTGGGACTTGAAGGAGGCTAAGGAGGGGGCGAGTCGGGGTGATTGGAGGATGGAATTCCAGAGGTTGCGGGCAGAGTGGCTGAAGGCTCTCCCGCCAATGGGTCGGGGGACGTGGAGCAGGCCGGAGCCGGCTGAGAGGAGGGAGCGGGTGGGTTGGTAGGGGGGGTTAGGAGGTCACAGAGGTAGGGTGGGGCGAGGCCATGGAGGGCTTTGTAGGTGAGGACCAGGATCTTGGACTGGATCCTCTGAAGGATAGGGAGCCAATGGAGTCGGGCGAGAATGGAGGAGATGGGGTCATGGAGTTTGGTGCAGGAGAGGACACGGGCTGCAGAGTTCTGGATTATCTGCAGCCTGTGGAGGGAGGAGTTGGGAAGCCGACAAGCAGAGCATTTGCATAGTCGAGCCTGGAGGTGATGAAGGCATTAACAAGAGTTTCAGCGGCCTGAGAGGTGAGGTTGTGGCGGAGTCGGGTGATGTCACAGAGGTGAGGGAAGGCAGTGCAGGTCATGGCTTGGATGTGGGGAAGAAAAAGACAGTTGAGGGTCGAACAAGACACCTAGGTTCCTGACTGACTTGGTGAGTTGAAGTGTGGTACCATGGAGGTTGATGCTGCCAGAGCCTGAGGTGGAGAGGCTCTGGTGCGAGCCAATCAGGAGGGCCTCAGTCTTGTTCACATTCAACTGTATGCAGATACAATACAAATTACATTTGTATAGCGCCTTTCACGTTGGGAGGACGTCCCAAGGCGCTGGACAGTCAAGGATTTGGACCCAAGCTGGGGGTCAGGATCGGGGAGGATGAAGTGCAGGGAAGGTAGGAGGGTGGCCGAAGGCTCGGTCGAAGAGGAGGGTTTTGAGACGCGTCTTGAAAGAGGCAAGGGAGGGGGCGAGATGAAGAGAATGTGGGACGGAGTTCCATAGGGTGGGGGCAGAAAGGCTGAAGGCTGGATCTCACCGTTCCAGTAACCAAGAGTTCTGAGGAAATGCCTGAATCCAGTAATGTCTGATCATATGAACCAGCATCATTGTGGAATCCATGAGTATATTCACATCAAATGTGAATTCCAGGCAGGGCGAAACCTTGGGCAAGTTTCCTTACTCCACACGCCTAATAATAATCCCTCCAAAACCAAAAACAATAATAAATTGGTCATATTCAATCTACGACTGTTTGTGGGACATTGCTGTGCGCAATTGGCTGCCGCGTTCGCCCACAAATATACAGTCAATTCACTTTACAGTGTGTTCTGTGAAGCGCTTTGGGACATCCTCCCGACGTGAAAAGCGCTATATCAAATGCAAGGATTATTATTATTATTATTATTAAATGGTGATGAGTTTAGCTATTGCAGGTACTGCTCATAATGAAACCCATTACAAATGAGTGCCAGTAAAATGGGCAGGAAGGATTAAGGGATTTTCTGAGTCCTGGTACTCAGATAATTTGATCGTAAAATCTGTAGAAACCAGGCTGTATGTAAAGACACCAATCGGGGTTGGTAATTTACACAAGTCGATTTCAGAATGAACCTTGGCTTTCACCCGCTGTGAAACTAGGGGACAGGGGAGGCAACTTTTTCATCAGCATCTTCTCTTTGAGGCCTTCATTGAGATCAACAATATAAAAACAACTAGGAACAGCATCCTGTAAATCATTTGTTTTGGATATAACTGCCATTACAAAATCTCTAAAAGAGCTGAATCTAGTCCACGACTAAATAGACCCACCATATGATTGAATTGATGTTTTTTTTAAAACACTTACATTGCGTGCTTCATACCTGCAGCACCATCCAATCTACATGTTACTGATCTGGCCGTTAAGCATGAGCAAACCTGTTAATCAAAGTGCTGCATAGTTTTTGTAGCAAGCCACCGGGAAGAAACTTTTTTGTTTTTGAAAATCATCTGTTTTATCGCCTTGATAACTGCCTGCAAATCTCAAGTTTCTCCATAACCACTTCATGCAGACCCAGAGATAACAGAAGAAATCTAGAAACTGGGACCTTGCCCAAAGTTATTAAGAACCAGTTGGTTGGGATTCCCTGAGGTGCAGTTCAATGACTCCGCAGTGATCAAGCTGGAGTGCCGGTGATACAGAAATTAAAAAGAACATTCAGGATTGAGTTCGGCATGCTTTCTCTTTTAATAGCTCAAAAACTAAATGGATTTAAGTTGGTGGAACTACTTATTGGTAAGCCCTACGCTATTGATTTCATGGAGAATGATGTGATGAAGTCAACGAAAGCAATGAAACAGACTGATGGAGAATCTGTGCAACAGGAAGGGGTCACTACCTCGATCTGAAGTGTGGTGATGTGAAGGTATAAAGTGGTGACCATCACTAGTCTGAATTTGGAAAGTAATCCAATATCTTTATGCTCCGTAACTGATTTGAGAAACACCCACATCACTGATGGGCTGACAGAATCAAACGATAGAAGAATGAAAAACAAGTCATGCCATACTTTTTATTTTGACTTGCGTGCTTTTGATTCTGTTAGTACGTCTGCACTTTTCATCCCAGTTATTGGCTGTACAGACCTAATTGCAACTCATTCATTTTCTAATAATCTTTGAATTTGGTACAGCACCACATCAGGAGGATGTCTCAAACTGCCTCACGGGATTTGACTGTAATGTGGAGTGACTGTGTATTTGCAGGCAAAGTAAACTGAATGACCAACTTGTATTTGGGAAATTTGTTAGCCAGGCTATCAGGAGAAACTCTGTTCTCTTTTCAAGTAGTGTCATAGGATCTTTAACATTCATCTGGACGGACAGACAAGATGATACCTCGGTTTAACCTCTCAACTGAAGGACGGCACCACTGATAATGCAACCCCCCCACTCCCCCCAGCACTTCATTTGAGCGTTAGCCTAGACTATGTAAGTTCAAGTCCCGATGTGGGACTTAAAATACATAGTCTACTGACTCAGAGACAAAAGTGCTACCAACTGAGCTAGGCTGAGGTACTTTAGAATCAACTATTCAACCTGATGACTGAAAAGGCTGGTAAACCTCTATAAAGCATAATGCATTTTACTTAAATTGCAGTCCAATAATATAAAATATTCTGACGTCCCTGTGAATTTATTTAGTGCTGTAATGTGATCAAACATGTATTTATTAGAAATGGGCAGAAAATAATATTTTTGGCAATGTTAACATATGCAACCTGCATTTCATGTTTAAATGGTTAATTTGAATAGTTATAATTAGAATCTGAGTAAAGCTTATTTAAATGGGGCTAAAGAATATAGTTGTACAATTTGCACATTTTTCATGAATGTTTAATGCTCTTTTATTTGCTGGAATGATTTTAGTGCCACATTGATTATTTTGCTGTTTTAATGTCAGGCATCTGTTTTACCTGGTAGAATGCTTTTATTTTCATTATAAATGTTTGAAGCAGGATGAAAGCAGCATGCAAAACAAATAGGCACTTGAGTTTCTAATAGTATCAAGCCATAAATGTCAGGCATCTGCAAATTATAGCTTCAATTTCATCAGTATAGACTTTTTTTTGTTCTGGTTTATTATGCCTGTTTAGGATTTTGCTACAGGCTAAAATTATGTGGCAGATAGCTGTTAGGGAACGTTCTAATCTGCTCAGTTCAGATGGTCACAAAGCAACATAATACGCATCAAGGTTTTAAGATAAAGCAGCAATCCAACCTTGTCAAATAATATTGAATTGTACTGTACTGCTAGAAAATGCAACCATTGCTTTGTTTTCCTACAAAATTGCATAGTTAAGATTAATGGACAAGGCTCCTGTTTACATAAATTACATTGTCATCTGGTAGCTAGATGGCCTCCAAGCACAAAATGGATTGCCACAACTCGCTGCTTGCAAATGAAAACGTGAAATGCCGATGGATTTCTATGTTGACATCTTTTTAAATTCATTTATTGTAGAAACAATGATGTTTGCATTTGACATAATGCTGTTTTATTTCAGCCGGACGTCTCAAAGAGCTTCCTAGGATTTACTGTGCTGTGTCGCGACCATGTACTTTGTAGGCTATTGACTGCACCAGCTAAGGTCTCTGGTTTCAGCTTACGGTGAAAGCATTGTGGATTTTCCTGTTTTCAAAGATTTCCATAAAATCTCTCAATAGCTTTTTTTTTTAAATGAACTGTTTGGCAATCCTTAGTGGCTGTGTTGGAGAATGCACTGCAGATCTGGATTCAACCCTAGGCCTTTCCTGTGCACCTTTGCATTATTTGGGGATATAATGCATGGATCTGTCAAATGTAGTGGGGTGGGAGCAGGCACTTCAGACTCTTGATAGTCGGTGTGCGAGAGAAGAGAGAGAAATAAAAATGTTAAGAGAAGCAAAATAAGCAAGTAAAGAAGGAGAGGTATGGCTTCATGATGGCATAACATAATGCTGCTTTTGTGTAGGCCTGCTTAAGATACCGATGTGTAATATTTGCTTTGTACCCAGGTTACAATTACAGCACCAATTGGGCAATGCCAATACTTGTTGCAGTTCACGAGGTTTCTAGTTAATATTTGTCTAAAGGCATTATTGGTGCAGTCTTGCTTCTGCCATTGGGAGAGCGTGACATTATTGCTGAGAAGCAGCAGTAAAGCATGAAAAGGGTAGAAGTCTGTTGTAATTCAAAGGCATCGTTGCAGTCAGTTTTCAGGGGAGCTGGGATGAAAATCATCATCTCCCAGGATCGCTGTCAGCACACTTGCACAGTTCCTGGCAGCTGTTTCTAGAATTGGCAAAGGTAGAGAGCTGGGAACAGATGTCTATGTACCTCTTTGTCAGGAATGGTGTGTGCCAACAGTGAGGGAGAGAGGAAGGGGGATGAATTGGTGACTAAAGACTTTTTTATGTAAGAATACTAGGAGACGATAGAGAAAAAAGGTGTAAAGTAAATTTTAAAAATCCGTTGAAAGATTGTGGGGTAAGGAAATTATGTAAAAGGTCTTATAAAAGGAGTGCTGTAGCTCAGTGGTTAGAGCACTCGCCTTGCAAGCGAGACACCTGGGTTCAATTCCAGACAGGACGAAACCTTGAGCAAGTTTCCTTACTTCACACGCTAATAATAATCCCTCCAAAACAAAAAAAATAATAAATTGGTCATTTTCAATCCACGACTATTTGTGGGACACTGCTGTGCGCAATCGGCTGCCGCGTTTCGCCCACAAATATATGCTCAATTCACTTTACAGTATATTCTGTGAAGCGCTTTGAGACGTCGAGAAGACGTAAAAAGCGCTATATCAAATGCAAGGATTATTATTATATTATATGGTTAACATTTTAAAATAAATTTGATCGAAAGATATGTGTTTAGAAGACTTCGCTTTCCAATTGCCATGGACAGTAGAGAATCTCTCTTTTAAGAGATTATATAAGTTACGTCCAGTACAGACCTGTGCTGTCAATGTAAGCCCATTCAACTGCTGTGATCTTCTCACCTGCCTCTACTCTGTGATTTCTACTGATCCCTGTTTGACCACAGAAGAGAAAAAATAATTGAAACTTTCTTTCATTAGGAGACACAATACATACACGTCATACAAGAATGAGCCATTAAAGATAATGTACAGTGAAACAGTGAACCAGGGGAACAAAACCACTGGCACATTCAAACACATTAATGTAAAACAAACCTTTGATTTTTATGTTAAAGTAGCACTTCCAGGGCCAATCCAACTATTTTTATCAAAATTTGGGTTGTGAAGGCATTCTGGAAGCATGAGAGCAGATGGGCCTTCTTTAACCAAGCCATCTTGTGAATATTCAGCCTCCTGGCCTCAACCAACCTTCCTGGTTAAAAGACTCTCAAAGCACATCACAAGTAATTAGTGTTGTCAAATGTGGTAACTATTTTTGCAGGTAAATGAGGTAGCTATTTGTGAGTACAAACAGACGAGAGGTGAATAATAAATTAATCTGGAGGATAGTTGGCTGGGCAACTGGAAGAAAATGCCTTACCTGGTTCTGCAAGTCTGTAACCTTCAGGAGGGGGGAGAAAATAAAATGTATTTCTTGAAAATAGCTTGAGGTTTACTGAAAGTGAAAGACCATATGAGAGGGTAGAGAGTGAAAGGCTCATAGTCCATCATGTCTAAAGTGACATTTTGTGTGTGTTCTGTGTGAAGCTTCATTTAAAATGCCAGGTTTCATTGACCTTTGAAATTGAAGGGTATGAGTTTGTTTGCTGCAGTTCAAGAGCTGTAACTGTAATAAATTACTTGGTGTTTTGAAATTGTGATGTTATCAGCGTGAATTCTTTTGCAATCTAATGTCAGGCTCTTGGGTTATCTTATCAACACCACTAAGGAATTAGGAAGCATTATTCCCGGTTAACCAAACGATAAAGATTGTTCATATCATAACCTGTGCTGCACACTGATGTTCCTTAGGCAGGAGCTGAAGCTGGATTTTAAGAAAAACAACATTTGGAGCAGATGTGTTCCCACACATTGAGAGAGCTGTTTTAGTTGAGAATTGGATGTGCTTGCCTGTCATGAGAAGAACATTTACTGATTTATTTGAGAATTGGTAACCTTACTCCGAGAGGTTTTTAGGGGTGATGGAAAGTGTTTTTCTGCTGCAGAGTGGTGTCAATCTCGTTCAATTGGTAACGCTGTTGATTCTGAGTCAGAAGGTTGTGGGTTCTAGCTTCAAGTAGGTTGTTCAAAAAGAGGGTAGTTTCTCCCAATGTCCTGGCCAATATCCCCCTCAATAAAATTGATTTCTTCTATTTCTTCTTAAGTTTATCTGGAATAAGAAGGAGGCGATGAACATTGAATCGGGATGGTCCGACCACTGGGGTGAAGGATTGAGAGAAGCCCCTCCTACACACACACCCCCATCTCCCATGAGCTGAAGAAACCTAGCAAGGGGTAACTATCAAACCTATTCTACCACATGAAAACAGATCGCAAGGGAACAGAATTCTTATTTGGCCGGGGCAAAAGAATAGCTTATATTGAGACTCTTGGGCCAACATCTTGCAATTATATATAAAAAAAATCTTTTTAGATTAAAAGTTCCCTCCTAAGGGATGAGCAATAAAGACCTACTCCTTTAAATTAATTAACTCTGCATTTTTTTAAACAATATTATCGTAAAATCTCTTCAGTCTTAATATCACACTCAATTAAAAAGTTAATACAAAAATCAAGCAAAATTACCAGTGCCTACCTATTGAAGAGACGGCCACAGCTTGAGGAATTAGACAAATATCATTTGGAAGCTAACTTTGTTTTATCAGGACTGAACTACTCTTGCTATGTGGTTCTTGAGACAGTTCTTTGTGTTGCTTTCCTTGTTCTCAAGGCTTCTCTGAGGCACCTACAATACTGCCACCTCAGTCATATAGCGGGGATTACACGGTTTGTATTCAGTGGTACTCCAGTTTTCTTGTAAAGCTCAAAGCATCACTCCACATGTACAAAAGCAATGTGGTTGAGCTTCAAAGGAAACTGGAGCCTGAATTCACAACTAATCTTAGCCTTGAAACATGTTTTTGCCCTAACATTTAAAGATTGATCAGAATCCACTCTTATTTTGGAAGCTAATTCTTTTTTAAGTCCTGCTTGATCTTAAATCCTAATGGCCCATATGGTTAAAAAATTATATTATGCCCAAAGTGCCTTTGGTGACATCAGTCATGGCTTTGGTCTTATAATAATGCAGAGACTTTCGAGCCACATGAAATGCCCCAGTGGACTTTTTACTCCATGACTTTTTACCCCAGCTTAACACTGGGTGAAAATTAAGACTGAATGTCTTGTAGGCTAAGACTGAATGAAATTTCAGGCCTCTGAGGACAAGTGCATGACTTGAGTGAAGAGATATTATTTCAGCGCAGTGATCATTTTATGTGTTATAATAACCTAGAATCAAAAGAGGTACAAAACTTGACAGCTTGTGCCATTTAAGAATAATGCTACACTTTGGAAAGATGCCAGTGCTGTTTCTGCCGACTGAATTTGGCGGAACCTTTTTGTGCCAGCTTACTGCACCCTGGTGTTGTCTAATAGAGGTGATGATGAATAGCCAATAACTGAGATAATTTTTAGTTGTGATCCTTTTAATTCCTACATCATGGCAACACTGGTTGGCAGCAGTGGTTACAAATTGCATTATTTTGTCTCTGCTGGCAAGATCTCACTGTTTCTGCCAGAGTTCTCACCCAGTGCCTACTAATTAATGGATCTCCACATGGAATAAACCCTCAATTTCATCTCTAGTCAAGCTCCTACAGTTTTTGTACTGCAGCTGGGTAGCAACTAGCATAAATGAGCGGAGCTGCTAATGTGCACAGTCGCCGACTATTTTAAATATTACCTGCATGTGGATCTTAGTGAAAAGGGTGGCCTGTAATGAATCTGCATGTCGAGATTTAATTTAATTACATCATTACTGATGCAGAAGGGTTTCAATGCTCCAGGTAAAAACTAAACCCATATTGTTACTGTTACAATAAATAATACCGCTGGTAGTAAAATTATCTGATAAATAATAATAAAAAAGACTATTACTTTAATACCTTTAAGTCACAAAATAGATCTCTCTGGTTGGACTGAAACTAAAAAAGAGCTGTAGAAATTGCCTCTTTTCTGAAAGGAGATAAGGTTAAGAGGATTTCAAGTTTTGTGGATTTTTGTGTTCTATGATTATACGCACAATAGGAAAGCGAAATTGCTTTAACAGTTGGTTTCATGTTTTATTGTGTGCATATTGATGTTCTGAATTTTTAAAGCCATCAAATACTGAGTCTGTTCAGTGAGCTTGTAAATTTCAGCAATGGAAGGACATTTGAAGTCTGCTGTGTGTGTAAGAAAAAGGTAATTTGAAATTAACTGGCAAATTAAGGTATAAAGCAGGGAATAAATAGCTTTTTGAAGAGAAAATATTTGTATGTTCCTGTGGTGATGTATTAAGATGCACAAGATTTGAGAAATACCTATGTGCATTGCCAAAGCAGCTTTGAGCTCCCAGAGATAAATTGCAGTCGCACTTGTAATAAATGTTTATTGCAATACTGTAAGGATGATATCTCATGGTGATTTTTTCTCTCTCTAATCTGTCTCCAGCCTTCTTTAAACGATCTAAAAACAAATGACGTAATATTCCTCATTAAGTGTTCCCTGTGTGACATTATCTGGGTTATCAAAGATTTAGGACCCTATTTTACGTGAGCTATTAGCGTCTACACTAATAGTCCCTCATTGTACAGGAACACAAAACAGCAGTGTTGTATTGATTAGCTGCACCACTTCAAGCTGAAGATTTGTGTGTTGTATAACGGTTGGCAATGTTGCCAAAGCTAAAGTTCAGAGACAAAGAATGACCAAGGTGGCATTGAGTCCAGTGCACATTCAGTGATGCACTTTGCGATTTTTTTTATCTTCAAATTGTTGCTTTCTCTCTTCTTTCTACCCCCCAGCACCCCCCCTCCCCACCAATAAGATGCTGGGCTGCCTATTTCAAGGCCTCCACCAGTGCAGCAATAATCTAACCAGTAGGAAGTACACAGCGTTGACCTGGTTCCTTCTTGCCTCTCTTTCTTGAGGAAGTTCTTGCCAGCCTCCACCTTGGCAGCTCAACTGAGATAGGGAAATTGGCATTGAACGACCCCCAGTTTCCATGCCACCATCTCTTTCGATCCCACTAGAAATCCACACAGTTGTATGAACAAATCCGCAGCAGTGTAAAAGCTTGAAAATAGCGCTCATTGTCTTTTATATAATCATAATCCGTGGCTATTATAATCTTTACATTCAATTTTCATGTTGGGAGGACATCTCAAAGTGCTTAAGGTGAATTTAATCAAATCAGTCTTTATTGTGACAGCTTCTAATTTGTCGCCTATCCAAAGATTTAATGTAATTTCACTTAAAAATAGTCACTGCATTTTATGCCACAACTCTGTAAAACACTTTGAAATGTTGCAATGTTATTTACTATATTATATGTAGGGATTGTTATTAATGTTATAACTTTCTTCTCTTACCTGTCGAATCTGAACCAAGCATCTTCCTGTTTCCCTTTTTCTTTGCTTATTTCAGGTTCTCTAGAAGGGTATCTCAGTCTCTGAGAACTCAGACATCCACCCACCGCCCTTCCCCTCCATCCCGTGTTCTTTGCATCTATTCACAGTCAGATCAGGGTAGGTTATGAATGTACTGCTTTATATTGTTAAGAATTCAATTTGGAAAAATAAATTGAAAAGTATATCCATTACTTGGAATTCATTGTTTCTAGAAAATTGTCCCTGGGTAGACATGAGCAGCAGCTCAGCTAACAGAACAGGGACCATTTCAACACCCAGCAAAGCCTCATAGCAATGAGCAATAAACCCAAACCTGATGCACAAAAAGAATATAAAATGGAGAACAAGAAAATATGGAATTTACTCCAAACTCAAAGAGAAAACTTCGCAACTTTTGTATGTTTGTTTTTTGTCTCTTGGGTATCGGACTTTTTCTGGCTTGTTAAGTAAATAAGTTGGTTAAACCACTGTTTCTACACATAATAATCCTTGAATATGGTAGATTGTCTTTCACATCAGGGAGGATGTCCCAAAGCGCTTCACTGTATGTATTGTAATGTAGAGTGACTGTGTGTTTTGTGGGTGAATGCGACACATTGCATCTTAAAAGCTGGTACTCAATGCAGAAAATATTTCCACCTTTAATCAATCTGTTTTATTGTAACACTTGCCTATCTCTGTGAGATTAAAGAATGCTTTGCAGAGTGGTTGATGTGGGATTTTGTGGGCAACTCTCATGACTCCTTAGTCCATTTTCCTGTGAGATAAATTGATAGTAAAATGCATCTACACTTCCAATGCTACAATGTGGCTTACCACCACTGCTT